CCAGCACTGATCCCTGAGGGACTCCATCTCATGCTTTGCCAGCTGCCATTGTAATATGCCAGAAGCTATTTGCCTTGCATGCTTGTAGGAAAAGTGGCCTTGGCAACCCACAACATAGCAAGATCTTATGTTAGTGTCCTACAAGCCTAATTCTGTCTTTCAAGGAAATCTAGGAGACCGGTTCAAGCCTTCTTCCCTCTGATAAAGCTAACTTGCTTCCTCAGAGAGAGGGATGGAAAAGAATGTCTTGGAAAAGAAAGTACCTTACGTAGTTTGTTTTTTTTGGGTTTCATATTTAGAGGGAAATTAAAGTCTGCCTTTGAGACAGAAGCATTTCCTTTTGTCACTTTAAAGTAATTTTTATATTCATCTGTCTATTTAAACAATGTCAGCTGAACATGAGTATTAAAAGTCCTGGAGTTTATCAAGACTAAACAACACAATTTTCTCTAGAATTGATCCTACATAGATTAAGCAAGGTGAGCAGATGAGGTAGAGTGGGCACACTTAAAACAAGCAAAAAAAAAAACCCCAACCCATTGTGTTCTAACGTGAATGGGCGATTAACAGGTTAATCACAGTGTGCCCTGCAGGACACACTTCAATGCAAAATACAGAGAGGACTGTTGTGGCTTCCATTAAAACCATTCCTGAAGCTAAATCCCTCCATCTCACTCAAGAATCACTCCTCAGTGATGTTCTGTGTTAAGACAGTCATGAGTCACAGAGGAAAAAGGCGATAACCTTGGCTGCCTAAAGCTCTGTACATGCCCTTAATATCACATCACCAAAGAGCAGAAAAAGCACTTAGTCAAGTGGGGTGAAATGCATTTCCTCTGGCCAAAAGGTGAAAAGTTGATGAAATTCCTTTCATGCAGGGAACCTCAAATCTCCTTTTTGTTAAGATTTTAGAGATTGTAATGAAGAAAACGCAATTGTTCTTATTTTACTTGTTTCTTGTATTTTACTGTATTTCAAGCCATTTAAAATATGTGAGCTCAAAATATTTTTAATAGTTCTGTGGTTAGAATTGATGCTAGATCACCTGGACCATCATTCTCAAATGACTTAAAAAGTTTCTTAGAAACAGATACTTTGGTAATGCAGACTATGAAACATTAACTTCTATCCACTCAGAAATAGGGTCTAAAATACAAACCCCTAATACCTTGCAGCTACTTAGTTCATACCCACTATATTTTGCTTTTATATTTCCTTTCTACACCTGATGTAAAATCAATCTGACAGATGCTATCACAGATCTGAGACTCATTAGAAAGTCATTAATTATCCTAAAGGGATATTCATGGATGGGAACATTCTGTATTTTGGGCTGTCAAGACAGATTGACCAAATGGCTTCACTGTAACCGCCCTGCAACTATGGCAGGCTAATGACAGAACTCAGTGTGTGGCACTCCTTGAATCTAATGTAAAATCTAATGTATAATGGTGCTTATGGAAGTCTCTATAGTGATAACCAAATTGAGTGTCAAATGAAATTTGTGATTTAGGTATCAAAGCAATTAAATTATTAACATCCCAAGGCAACTTTCAGAAATTAATTTCCCAATTAAAATTTTAATAGAAGTAGTATTTTGTTTTGGACTTCCAGCTGGAGAGATGAGAGTACGCAGTCCTGGGCAGCCAGCTCTCCCTCAGCCATACAAATGGGTACTCTTAACTCTGACTCTTAGTTTCATCAGTCTTCCCCTAAAATTCCTTTTCCATTCAGGTTGTGCTTTAAAGCCCCATTGTAAATCTAATGAAACCATTCCAGACTGGTTATAATCACCCCCTTGTCCCAGGAGAGGTGTCCTACCTTCTACTGAAATATTGTCAGAAAGTCTGGTTTTAGCAAAACTGGTTTGTTCAGGAACACTCAGGGGAGCAGGACGTACAGTGATGTAACGCTGCTGCCTCTTGCAGGCTGTTAGAACAGTGCAGTTAAATAAAGCTCATGCCTTTGTGTCTGCTTGTGGCAGCAGGACACTAGTTTTAACTTGCTGAATTCTTTCACTTCAAATATATGTTAAGTTATTTCCCCATGCAGATTTTTACTCCCTGCTCTTCATTTGTGTTCCGTTTACGCTACAGTTGTGCTATTAGCTTTTAGGCATGCTAGTTTAACTGTAAATTACATCTCACACTGCATGAAATAGAAGGGGGAATTGCATTAATTTAGCCAGTGCTACATTTCAGTAAACCTACTCTTCAAGACATTATCATATGTAACAAGATTGATCCCACTGAGTTAATATTTGAGATGCACAAGGTCAAGCATGTCTTATTTTTGCTTCAAGGTCGTGTCTGATAGTCAGTTTTAGTGCTCCTAGCACCCATCCATCTAAATAATCTCCATGCTTGCCTAATTAGATAAAATGCACTTTAGTGCTGTGCCATGGAGGAGAGTGTACAGGTAACCATACAGAAATTTTTCAGGCTCTTACATAATGCAGTGTATTCATACAATGCTTCTCAACCAGTACTTTTCTGAACAGAAACTTACAATGGAATGTATAATGTATTAATAGTAAACTTAAATGCCTCTCTACATAGCTTTACTTTCAGCCATCTGCTAAGCTCTATTTTTTCTGAAGTTTTCCCCAAGTTGTGTTGCTAAGATATAAAGCTTAGTAAGATTTTGATTATTTGACAAAGCTACTTTTTTTTTTAAAATATTTAACCTACAGTAGCAGTGAGAAAACAGCAAAGCCATTAACAATTATTTTTACTTTCAACCTGTGATGCAGAACTACAATTAATGGGATGAGGAAGTGCTTTCTTGTGCATTTGGAGGCAGATCTTGGCCTCTCAGGGATGCAGTCCACTCAGCCCAGAAGGGAATCTTGAGGAGGCAGTTGTTGGAGACCTTTATGCCTCTCTGATCTTAGTACTGAAGTTCCAGAATACTTTCTTAAAACAAGGTAGGACACAAGATAGTTAACTTGTGTCAGGTTTATTACAGAGGTAGCTGGAGATCTTACAGGAAATCAGAGATCATCTAGTGTTATCTGGTATCACTTCTGTATCTCCTTCCAGAGAACTCCACAGAGGTGGAACATCCTTCCTTGGGCCTGTTTCAAACTGGAAATGGAAGCAAGCTTTGGTATAATCTTAGGAGACCTGTCTGCCAAAGAAATGTGTTCTCGGCGCTTGTTCACAGGAGTCTGAGCTTGTTCTCAGCAATCTGGCCAATTGCCCACTCAAGCTGTTGCTTGTGTGTCAGCTGGCTGGCTTTTATTAGCAAACACTCGTGGGTGTGGGTCCAAAAACAAGCCTAAATTTTAAAGTGGATTTATATTGAAGTCCTACAAATTTAGACGTCAGGCTCAGAATAACTTTTCACATATGAGCTTTCTGCTAAAATATTTACACCATCTCTAAAAGCCTATTTATTACATAGTGCCACTTTGTAATACATAAAGGGTTGCTTGTAGAACATGCCTAGAATAGAAAAAGCAAAGATCCATATATTTTATGTTTGTACTACTGACTTGCTCTATATTGCATATGTATATAAGCAGTCAAAAAAAAGGGCTGGTCTTATGAATATATTTGTTTAATTCAGAGCCTGCTTAAAAGGAATTAAAAAGAAAGGTGGGGGGGAAGCACAGCTGTTCAGACATTATTTGCTTTTTGTAAGATACAGCACTACAGAAAGCCTGAAGTGATGTTCTATTGAAAAAAATTTCTGTTGGTTCATTGGAGGGAGTAACTGAATTCCTCTCTTTATTAACCTCAAAATGCACGAGGCACACAGAGGAGATACAGATGGCCTAAAGTGCAACTCTTGTCACTCGTGATGGCCGTTCTTGCATCCCGTGAATAAAGGCCCACAAATGTGGAAAGAGCTGCTATATAATTTCTGGAATAACTGTCTTTGGAAAGAGCCTCTTCTAGTGATGTTACCTCCCAAGGCAATTAGAACTCCTCAATATCTGAAGTATGCTCTTCTCCAAAGATGCTGCTACAGTCCAGACAACTGTGGCTCTCCAGAGCAGGTTTGGGTTAAACAGCTAAAATGGTAGTTGTCCTCCTTCACAGTTTACTGATGTAAAATGAACAATCCCAAACAATTTTCTCCCTATCCTAGATTAGGAAGTTAAATACAGTTACTGGGCATGTCAGAAAGGTATGGTTTCCTCAGTTCTGCTTTCTGATGGAACACTCGAGTTAAGAAAGCTGGAAAGTGAAATACAGAAAGGTTTAAAGGTTTTTTTTTTCACTTTTCTTTACCCCTTTTTTTTTTTGTTTACTCTGATCTGAACAGTCTCAAGCTCAGTAATAAATGTAACCTGAAAGCTCTTGGAAAAAAGTATATATTTTTCTCCTGGAAGTGAAACTTTGACTTGTAAAATAACGTCTCTCAAAGAAGGATGTTCATAAGTAATTTAACTTGTGTGTTTCATTAGTATGCCACCAATAGGATAAAATTTAATGTGAATACTAGTAAATGAGAATTGGTTGCACACATGCCTTTATTTGGTAAATATATATTCTGCTCAAGAAAACAAACTTCTACTCAAACCAAACAAAGTCTGTATTTAGAATTTGTGTGGCCTGCATTTTTGTAGTGGGCATAGGTCTAGCAGTTGTATTTTCTTCTTTTCCAGGCTTTGCAAGTGCCAGACTATAAATAGGCTCAGGAACTTGGTGCAGTGCTTACCGTGGAGGTGAGTCAGGGTACATCACATTCACCTGAGAAAGTGTATCCAGATAGGAACCGAAATCAAAAGCTGGGGGAAACTCTTCCATGCAGGTGGATCTCAGTTCTCCAAAAGAGCCACCATAAGAGAAGCCATCTGGAGCTGGAAAACAAGCAATTAATACTTGCTGCTCTTTTCTTCCATGGTGGATTCTCTCAGACAATATCCCTGTTTCTAACACTGTCATAAACCAGAAAAATAAAACCTATCTGAGGCAGAAAAATAACTGGTATTCTGGAACAATCAGGCTTCACAGGACACTTCTGTTCCTTTAAGAGCAAGTTAGCATCATCTGTAGATGAGCTGTGGTGTTTCAGGCTGTGGTATAGAAAACATATATTTAGTGCTGCCTTACAAGATGCAGGTGTCTAAAGCTTTTCTTGTGCCTCAGAGGCTGAAAAGTCAGTTCTGCTGCATGCAGCTTCAAACACCAGCAGGATTGCTGAAGTTCCCAGGAGCTGCATGCATTGAAACTTTGTCAATTCTGTGAAGGTTTTTAAAAGGAGGCTTAGGTGTTTGTAGGTATGCGTCTTGAGAAAGTGCCTTCTCAATAAAAACACTCAAAAAAATGGGAAAAACTGGAAAATAGAGAAAATCACTCTTCTGCCTGCTCCAGGGCTTTAATGCCTTCATGCACAAGCTCCACAAACATAAAGTAGTTAGTGCTATTTTCTGTCTTAGAAGACAGGTAGCTAAAGCTCAATATTCTGGGGTAGACTTCCTTAAGAATGTCCTGAATTGTGGAAATACAGTAATCTCTGCTCCCCTGCCCCCTGCAGTTGTCTTCCACAAAAAGGGATCCTTTCTTTTTCACTTAATGCAATACAACAGTACCTGCAGAGAAGGGCCAGCTTCTAAGGTGACTTCGAAATACTGTCTCTTTCAACAGAGGGTAAAGGGCGGGACTGACTTGAACTGCTTGTTCCTCCTCCTGGCAATTTGCACCTCTGCCAGTGTATTCTCAAGGAATTTACCAGGACTAGTCCAGTCTCTCATGCACTGTCATTTCTTCTTGCTTGCCAAGTGAAAGAAGCCCACTTCACAGTACCACTTCACAGCTGGCCCCACGCTGGCCAGCGGAAGCAGGAGGAGATACCAGAACGGCGTGTGCTAATGCAAAATTTGCACTTGAGTAGACTGGCACAATTTAGTTTAACATTATTCTTTTGAATTTCACTGAAAATATCACCATGCTTCTCTTTTTCCATTTCTCTAGTGCTGTTATTTCTAACAGTTTTCAAACTGTCCCCTTATGTTTTTGCTGGGCTTCAGGGTTTTTAAAGGAGCTGCAATTAACATACAGTAAATTTAGATGTAGTAATTGAATTTTAATGGTCAGTATTTTGTCATGGCAAAAAATTGCTGTTCATGGATAAAATAGTAACTCCAGTTTGGCTCTAACTATTTCATCCCAAATTTAGCTGCTGAAAAGTAGAAAAAAATAGATGCCACAGTAATGGTAGACATTAGTTTTCTGGAGTTTTTTTTCCCCCTTTTCCCTATGTATGTTACCACATGAGTTTGCATTTCACTTCTCTTGGAGTCTAAAATTTATTTCCAGAACATAGATGTCATTCACTTATCTGGATAAATGTTTCTGGAAAAGCCAAAAATAATGATTGTAGCCTCAGGTGGACAAACTGATTCTAGGAAACATGTTTTATTTGGATCCAAAAATTCCTGGTTCAAATAATTAAATGAAGGCCACTGACTTCAGTGGATACTTAATTTACATTAGTGAAATCAAGAGTTGAGTCAATACATTTTCATGTGACTCACTATTGTTATCTTTTCTATATAAAGAAAAAAACCTCAAGAACATGCAAAGAACTCTACTCTCACAAACTGCAGATATAGCAGCCTAACCACAAACAGTGGATAGCAAACCAGTCTCTTTAATGATGATGACAGTTATAATGACATTTTGATGCCCTGTTGTTCTGCTTGTATCTAGTTACTTCTTTTCTGACCACAAGAGTTAGTAATTGCCCAGTCATCATTGCAGGTTGGTGCACACTGCAGAAGTGAACACTTTCCTGGCTCTCCAACAAAGAGAAATTGCATTATATGTTATACTAAGGCTACAATGGGATACAAAAATAAACTAGCAAGAGGCTAGCAATGGAAAAGAAATCTCATACAATATCAAGGGAAAGTGAGCTGTTGAAGAAATGCTTTTGGCATTGGCCTCGTTTATGTTAACCATTAACTACAGAGCTTGTGCTATGTGAATTCATGTGAATCCAGTGCCAGCACAAAGATGCTATTAAATTACAAAGCTGTCTGTGACCTACTTATCAATTTTTTTTTTTTTAATCTCTTGCATAGTGGCCAGATGCTTTTTGTTGCCCATAGCACCAGATATTAATAAAGTTAAGCATTATTTTGCTACAACTAGCTGTCTCACCATAAACAGCATCTCTCCTCAGCTGTGGGTGTCTCAACCGACCGTCCTTTCGCAGACTGCCAACGACGATTGTAACACAGGACAGAAACAGCACAAGTCCAATCACCACTCCAGCCACCAGAAGGGGTGAAACAAGTAAACTGGTATCATTTCCATTTTCACCATAGCTGGGGAACTCGCTGGTTGGGCTGCTCTGGTTCAAGTGAACTTCTGTACAGCAAAGAGAGAAAGAACATGTCAGTTGTGAAAAGAGACATTCACAAAGTGTAAACAATGTACAGATACCAAAACTAGGCACTTCAAACCCCTAAGGGACAGCCTGAGACAGATCCATTGTATAAGTTCATACTTGTATAGACAACCTATTTATTAGACTGATATCTGGAGCTGTTAGTAACTGGCAAATCATCTCCCTGTTATCAGGGGATATCCTGCTGGTTTCAGTGATTTATGCTGCATAATTTTGAATACTTACTTCTGGAAAGATTCTTTGTATTGTGAATTGATTGATGCTGAAAGTCTTTCAGTGCCCAAGGACGAATGTGAAAATTCAAAAATTTAAATTCCAAGTGGAATAGAGAAATTGTGTGTTACTAGGTGTGAAAAGACTCCAGGGTTTTGCAGAGAAAGTTTTGGGCAAGGGTGAAACAGAGGAGCATGCTTCTGTAGTATAGGGCAAGTTTTAATTTGTGAGCTGAGTCAGCATCCCAAGAAACTGATTTGGAGCAGAGGTGGGGAGAGACTCTTATGAGGCACTGAATGTTCATTGAAGACATGGCTTTTTATTAGGCAGAAGCTCAGGCAATAGACCAAAGTGGTCCTCTTGGTCTTAACATCTAATAAATTGTTAAAATACAAAACCATCACAATGAGTGCTTAAGTTTGTTTGTTTTTAATGAATAAATTATAATTTATTGTCCTTTGGGCTCCCCTGTATGTAACAGTAATCCAGTGATGGTGCCAAACCTGTGCTTTAATCCAGGCTTTCCTAGTGCTCGATCTGGCTTTGTGCCTGGCAGAGAGGTTGGGTTTGGTGCAGTCTCTCATTTCATTCTCCCTAGCTTGGCCTGATACTGCATGAGGAAGAAGCTGTGTGGGCAGGCAGACCTCACCTTACAACAGTGTGGAAGTGTTAGGGTGTAGTAGGTACACCCTGAGCTTCAGCAGATGACCGCAGACTGAGCCGAGCTCTCTGGCCTGTGTGCCCTTGTTCGAGGCAAGCAGTTCCACACAGCAGCATTGCTGCTCATGCTTCTACCCCACTTTAATTTTTCAGTTGCAAGGCACTCATCTTTTTTATGGCAAAAACAATAACTGCTTTCCTCTGTTAAAAAAAAATAATCTCTAGATGTATTAAGCTCAATAATAAATCTACTTAAGGGAGAAAAATGGAAAAATGCAGGAATAACCCAAACTGTGAAAAGTCTGAATAACTCCAAATCAAATACCCTTTTGAGACATGCTAAACAGAGTATCAAAAGTTAAACAGTAAGTTTGCTTTAAAGGATCAACTGGTGGCATACAATAATGCATTTAAATTAATTGCACAAAGATGTATTTATGGGGGATTGAACTGCCGATGGAGGGGATGTTAGAAATTATCCTTTTTGGATTTGTTATTTTGGCAGATAAAATTCCTGCTTAAGTGAAAGGCTTTGTATGTTTAATTGTGGGCAAAAGTTTGGGCATGCAGTAAAGGTAAGCAAATTTGGGCGTAGGTCTTGAAAACAATTTGCAATAAGTACCGACTTTCCTATCCTTAATCCACACTTTATTTAAAAAAAAGACCAAACCAAACAAACAACCCCTCACTCCCTACCCCCCCCCAATCAAATCTCCCATTAGCTGCTCAGAATCAAACTATGTACCAAGTAAACCAGAATTTTATTGATGCAAGAAATTATTGGAGGTGCATATATACCAAGACTAGCTTTCGAATATGCACAGACATATTTTTATATCTGGCTATATGCCAGTTGAACAGACAAACGATTTGTTTCATACAGAAACTAAGGTTAATAAAATTTTGCTCTTTTGAATGCTCAGTGAATATGTGCTTTTGGAAGTGCAAAAGCTTTTTATATGGATAGATGTTAGCTGAGAGTTTTCAGCGATGTTTTCCACACTCTTTTACTTTGGGATATACCACTTCAGAGTCTTGCAGTCACAATAAGCTTAGAAAGAAGATGGTGGCTTTGAGCCAATGCATATTATCACAGGCTAATGTTTGACATTGAGAGAACTGACTAGAAACATAAAAAACCTGGGGAATTAGCATGTAGTAGGGCTTTTGTTAATTTTTTTAGGAGTGCTTGACTGCTGGCTGAGAATCTTTATGAGCAATTAAGACAGACAGCCAAGAAATGTGCTGAGTTTTTACAAAGTGTTTTGTGCCAAAAGAGAAAACGGAATTTTCTGAAAATTAAACTGTTTCTGTAGCATTAAATCAAGCAAGTATGGAAAGCTGTCCTACTCCAGTGCTCTTAGTGCAAAGAGATTTCAGGTATGGGATATGGCTGAGGGGTAGACTCTGCTGATCTTATGGCCTTTGCACTAGAACTAAACTTCCTCAAAGGTTACAAAATTCTAATTGTGCTCCTCATTTGTGTATTTTTTCTTGAACTATCTCTGTTGGCAATGTGTCCAATAAGTGTGTACTCCTGCTGGCTTTCTATAGCCTTGTTTATTCAGATTTTTGCAAATTCTGTCTTTGAAAGATCACAGCAGTGCCAGTTAGTTTAAATCACAATTACAGGGAATTGACACCTCAGCTGAAAGTACTAGTAGATAATTTATGGTAGTTTTGGTTGACTTGCAAAGACAAAAGGGAAGAATCAACCTTGTTGCCATCTGTTGAGAACATAAGCCCGGGCATGTGAGGTTACTCTATGCACTGTCAGGTTTGTGGTCTTCAAATTGAAGTCAAATAGTACTGAAAATGGAGTTGGTGATGTCAAGTTCAGTGGGGGAAAAAAAAGGGGCCACAGTGAGTGCTTCTTGATCTTTTGCAAGCTGGACAACTTCTAAATAACTCTCTTAACAGGAAGGGACTGTCTAAAGAAAAAAAAAGAGTAGGCTAGATTTTTTTTTTTTTAAATTGTCTATGGAAGTCAGCTGGTATCTTGACACATTGACTATTTTGGAGATTCCTGTGGTGCCACCCAGTGTGAGCACTAATATTTGGTCCTGTTTTGCTTTATAGGAATTTAACAGGTTAGCAGTGACTTCAGATAGAAAGTATTTTCTCTTATACTCCCCACTTGTAGATAAGGTGTTATTTTTTATTTCAAGATAGCCCATTTATGTAGCACACTCTCGGGGCTTCCTTAGCTGTTCCAAATCTTGTCTATATTATCCCTTGTTTCTCACCATCATTAATCTTCCTCTTTTTTAATGCTTTTAGTCTAATTGAACCCAGTCTCTGGTAAAGACAAGATATATTGCAATATCGTTCTTATTAGAAGGAATGAGTAACATCCCTTAGCCTAACTCCTAAAAGAATATGCAGTTGATAAACTTCTCTCCTGGTATTATTTTCAATTTACCACCATGAATCTGGTCCTCCAGACTTCACAGACTGACTTAACTATGATGGGAGCTACTCAGGTGACAGCCACAGAATGAGACACTATGTTGACATAAATTCTCTAGTTTCACTTTCTTTTTGGCAAAAGATGTTTACATTACCTTTGGCAAAGCAACATCTTATAGATTTTCTCCTCTTATTCAAATACATCTTCTTTTGATAAACCATACATTTCTGTATATAAAAATAATCATGTTTTTTCATTCAGAACAGAAGTATCTGGAAATTTATGTAAAGCCCATAAATATAACAGCAATATCAGAGCGCTAACTTATTTTTGAGGTAACTTGTATATTTTCCATGAAACTGCAAATTGTGAACAACACATACATAAATATGAATACTTTGTATCTAATCCTTTATATATGAATTGTATTGGATGCACAAACTGTTGCCTTTATCCAGTGAAGGGAGTTGTGTGAGTAACTGGACACGGCACAAACGGACCATGGCTGTAACAGCCATGAACACACAGAGGGCATGTGGCTGAGAGAAAACTTCATTTAGAATGAGAGCACTGGTGGAAAATTGCTGACTATGTGTTCAGTGTTAGGCAATAAATTACCAATCTGCAATGTCCTTTAAATATCACGTTATTTTACCCAGTCAAAGTGACTCCTGTCAGAGTGAAATGTCTTGGTCTACAGATGTCATGGGAGCTTGGTTCATCCAAGACACAGCCCTTTATTGGGAGTGGCTTCTCTTTGCTGGCTTTTACCTGACATTTATGAAAATTACGTATCTCCATAGTGAAACAGTTGTGGAGTTTTTTTTTTTGTTGTTGTTGTTTGTTTTTTTTTGTGGAAGACACATAAGCTGTAGTGCAGCTGCAGTAGCCTCTGTAATTGATCGGGCTGTACTGGAAGGATTTTGAGTGCAGAATACTAGACCTCTTACATCCCTGCCAGCTGCAGTTAAGCCTTGCCTGAGGGGAGGATGGGTTTAGTGATTACTCTCTGAAGTAGAGCTGAAGCAGACTGACAAGACAATGTTGTACTATGTATACGCCCTGGTTTAGTGCAAGTTGCCTGGGGTTGATGCTCTAGCACCTCCTATTACCTTATATGCTACATTAACAAAGTGTACAGCACTGGAAATGAGTAGGATGAAACTCAGTATAAAATAGTGCATAGTATGCTTTGATTTTTAATCTCAACAAAGGGTCTCAAACATTGAAGCAATTTTAAGCATGTTTCTGATACCCTTATTTTTTTAACCCCTGGTTGGAGCAGTGTTGGAATATGCAGCCTCTTTAGCAACAGGAGACTGACAGATGGCAAGAAGGAATTGGGAGGTCCCAGTGAGGCACACAGATAAGATGGATTAGTGGATAACTAATATTATCTTAGTAATAACTATGATAAATTAGTGGAACTGATGACAATTTTGTTTATTCAGCCTTTATGAACCATTCCCAGTTAAAGATGACAGGCTGGCCAAGAGTGACCAATTGGATTTTGCATTTGGTGCTGTACTGTGAAATAACCCTCTGGCTGCAGCTGCCATCAGGCTGCTATCACGCTGCTTATTTCTCCAGCTCCTGGGCAGGTGTTCACAAAATGAGTGAGGTAGGTGCAGTACAAAAGCAAGCTGAAAAAGGTTTTGAGTCACAGATGCTGGCTTT